CCTTCCTTCCTTCCTTCCTTCCTTCCTTCCTTCCTTCCTTCCTTCCTTCCTTCCTTCATTTTAGCACACTGAGTCTGAGTCTAATTAGTGCTGGCAGTATGTGAAAGGATAGGGCCAGCTACTGGAGCATGGGCAACTCTCCCTCATCCAGCAGCCATCAGCTACAAATTACTCTTCAGGTAGAAGTGGGACTTTATTAATCCTTTCTCCATCCATGCTGGAATTCTGACTGTCTTGCTCTTGTGCAGGCAACCACAGCCACTGTGAGTTCATTTGTGAAATGGCCCTGTCCTAAATGGAAAACAGTTTCACAACAGTTCTCAAACTCTGGCTCCTGCAATCTTTTCATTCCCTCTTTTGCAATGACCCCTGAGCCTTTCAGGGATAGGGTGTGATGCAGACACCCTTTAGAGCTGAGCACGGTTCTCATCATCATACCTCTGTTTCTAGAGTGCTAGGGTTGCAGATGTGTGGTACATCATCTGTTTTATGTAATGCTGAGATGAAACTAAAGGCATTGTGCATGCTAGGTGAGAATTCTACAAACTGAGCTACATCTCCAGGTCTCAAATTTTCTTTTCTTTTAATTATAAAATGTTCTAATTGTTCGAATTGCTTTGATATAAATGAGTACACTGTTGACCTGACAGTTTTTGTTTCCCTTTGATAACATTATAGTTTTCATTCATCTGTTTGGTAAGATTGGTTGTACCATTAGTATATATGAGAATTATCCTGGTTAAAGATTTAACAGTGAATCCAGCTTGGTGGTACATACCTGTAATCTTAGCATTTGGGTAATTGGGGCAAATTTAAGGCCAATCTAGGCTACATAGAAAGATTGTTTCAGAGGAGAAAAAAAGAATTTAGCAATGAAGTGAACATAACAACAAACAATAAAAAACACCAAGCACAAGAAAACAGCAGTAAATATATACATATAGATAATTTATATCGAACGAGATGGCTCTCAGTTGTAATCCTAGCACAAAGGAATCTGAGACAGGAGGAGCCCAATTTCAAGACCAGGCTATATAACAAGTATGAGGCTAGAGGCCATTGAAGACCTTTCTCAAGTAAGATAAATAATAAAATAATATAAACAGTGAAGGAAAATATGGAGTTCTTAGAAGGGAGGGTGTGGTGGTTTGAATGAAAATGGAAACGATAGACTCATAGGGAGTGGCATTACTGGAGATGTGGCCTTGTTAGAGGAAGTGTGGCACAGTGGGTAGGATCACTCAAGCCAGACCCAGTGTCACTCTCTTCCTGCTGCCTTCCAGTTCCGATGTAGAACTCTCGGCTCCTTCTCCAGCACTGCCTGCCTGCCTGCTGCCATGCTTCCCACCGTGATCATATGTACTATGGTAGTTTGAATAGGTCTGACCCCCATAAAACTTGTGTTTGAATGCTTGGCCCATAGGGAGTGGCAATGTTAGGTATGGCCTTGTTGGAGGAAGTGTATTACTATGGGGGCGGGCTTTGAGGTCTCATGTGCTCAAGCTACACCCAGTGTGGCACCCAGTTGCTTCCGCTATGGGCAGGGAAGCTTCTTTTGCAATGGTATCGATGAGTGCAGACTCATAACTGGGAATGAGAGACATTGAAGGCTTCTGTGACAACTTCACACACACAACTTCACACATACACACACACACACACACACACACACACACACACACACACCTGAAAAAGAAACAAGTCCAAACAGGAAGCTATTGAAGATAGTTCTTACAAATTGTGATAAAGATGCTGAAGTGTAACGCTTCATAGTTGATGGCTTATGGTGTAGGGGTGGGGAAGGACTCAGTTTTCTTTAAGGGGCTGGCCACTGGGAGTTTGACTAGGCTCCAGTAAGTATGGGCCACACACATTGGACTTGGTGTTTCTGTTTTTTGGGGAGGGCAGCAGCACAGATCGTGGACGTCAGCACTGCCTCCAGTGCCTGGGTGGATCATGGAAGTCTTTCAAGGAGACAATCCAGAAACTGAACCATTCTTCATTTTGGATATCTTGTTGCTCAGAGTCAGGATCATAGTGCATTTGGGCAGCATGACTGGTAGCAAGACCTTTGCTCACTCCAGTCTTCTGTATACCACCCTGCCCTTGGTGACAGCCACCCCACTGGTACCCTGGGCACGATTGTTGTGTTTGCAGCCTGTAAGTACCATGGCCCCGTGCTCTCCCCCTGCAGGAAGGTGAGCAGCCATTCCATGCCCCAGATGGCACCAGCCTAGCAGACAGCAGTGAGGCAAGGTGGGCAGGTGGTGGCCTGAGCCTCCCAGAGGCCCAAACACCAGCCCTACTTGGCAACAACATGCTCCTTTGTCAGCTGTGAAGCCACACTCTCAAACCTGTTGCTGCTGAAGCATCTCTAATTCTGCTTTTCTCCATCATCTTTCTATCTCTGTATTGTACATTCCTTTATTAAAGTGACATTTCAATCTACTATGTGTCATACAGTATGACATACTTTGCTCAAACAGCTTTACATGCAAATACTTAATGTAGTGAATCACTGAACTGGTTCAAGGTTTCTGAAGCACCATAAATACCGGAATATTGATGAGACTCATATTGGATATCCTGTTTCTAAGAGTGAGGGAGATTGTGCAGCTGGACAGTGCATCTGGGGCAGGGGGCAGGACCCACACAAGCTCCAGGTCACTGCACACCACCCGCCCCAGAAGCCTACTGGCAGTACTGTGACCCCATACTCTCCTCCCCCAGTAATCTTAATGCTCATTTCCCTGTTTTGGAAAGAAAATTAAATAGGATATTTATTTGCACCACCCTGCCTATTAACCCTAATTTGTTTTGGGAAGAGGATTTCAGATGGTTGGTTGGTTGGTTGGTTGGTTGGTTGGTTGGTTGGTTGGTTGGTTGATTAGTTTAGTTTGGGGTTCATTGAGACCAAGTTTCACCAAGTAGCTTAGGATGGCCTGCAACACACCGTCCCTTGTCTCCATCTTCCAAGAGGTAGGGTTGTAAACGTGTGCCTCCATGCTCAGATCAAACCTGATTGTTTTCAGTCCCTGTGAAATTCGTATTAACTATTTTTGATTGTGGTATTGTATTCCCCCAAATACTGTGCATGCTAATAAACTTATCTGGCATCAGAGACAGAACAGCCACAATATTAAACATAGAGGATAGGCAGTGGTAGCACACACCTTTAATCCTAGCATTCCAGAAGCAGAGATCCATGTGTTCAAGGATACAGCCAGCATTGGAGACACATGCCTTTAATCTCAATACCAACCATAGAAGACCTGGAGGTCTGTACAGACAGGCAGTGACGAGGCGGTCATGTGGTTGGGTTTACAGCCAATGAGAAGGCAGAACAGAAAGTCTGTATAAAGACAAACACATAGGAAGGAGGTCTCTCTTGGCTGAAGAGGCTACCTGCAGCAGACGGGTAAGGCTCTTAGCTCTGATCTCTTGGCTTTCTTCTTTGCATTGGTTCTGTTTCTTATTTAATAAGACGTTGGTTACATCTACATTTGACAGTACTGTTTTTCCTTTTTAAACTACGTTTATTGGGGGGAATACACACATGCCATGTTGTACATGCAGAGACCAGAGGACAACATTTGGGAGTTAGCCTTCTCACTTCATCGGATCATCAGGCTTGGAGGCAAGTTCCTTCTCCCGCAGGACCATTTTCAAGACCTCTGTGCTAAAGGTCTGCACTTAGGTCTTTATACATTCTCTCTGTTAAGTTCTATTTATTGTGAGCTATTTATGCCATGTAGTTTTTATAAGAATAAGCTGTAGAAATTACATTTTGTGTTGTATTTCCATCAGTTGAGTGGTAGCACTTCAGGATGAATTGAAAAGTCTTTGTTGAGAATAAGACAGTTGATAAAGGGATATTCATGTCATATGGAGATATTCATGTCATAAAGGAAAGCAGGTCTTGGTATGGCATGAGACCAAGGAATCAAGGACAGTATTCCCAGGATTTGGGGATCTGTTGAGCAAGGTTGGAAGGGAGAAAAACATTATAGAGAAAAGGACATTGCTTTTGGAGTACTTTGTATGATTTTCCTTGGTCCTTAGGCCAGAACTGACGGGAAAACAGCAGAAGAGCTAATGTACCAGGAGGTGGGCATTAGCACATTAGATGGAAATGTTTCAGAGTTCTGAGGTCAGGACTAGACAGATGGCTCAGCCATTAAGAGCACTGGCTGCTCTTCCAGAGGATTCGGATTTAATTCCCAGCATCCACATGGCAGCTCACAGCTGTCTGTAACTCTAATTCCAGAGGATCCAATATCCTCACACAGACATACATGCAGGCAAAACACAGATACACATGAAATAATTTTTTTTAAGTTTTTCATAAAATATCTTATAATATAGGCCACCATTTCATAGAAATACTATCATACAATTTTAGAGCCCAGAGTAATCATATCCTAGCTCACTGACACAAAAGAGCCTTAAGTTTAAAAAGATATCCCTTTAAAAAGTTGACAGTCAAGCCTGGAGAGATGGTTTAGTGTTCAAGATCATATATTGCTCTTGCAGAGGACCCAGTTTGGCTCCTAACCACCTGTAACTCCAGCTCCAGAGGATCTTAGGCCATGCATGGGCACCCACACTCACAGGCACATACCTACACACAGACACATATATTAATAATAAAAAAAATAATATTTTTAAGTGGAAAATTCAAAAAATTTTTCTTTTGGGACACTACAATTAATTTGTTATAAATTATGGACTTTGAGAATATTCTTTTTGCTAAAGATACTTAAGTATATTTACTTGGAACACATCAGGGAGACTTGCATACATCTGATATAATCAAGGATCAACTTGAGTTAAGATCTGATTTGATGCTGGGTGTGATGGTGCACACTTTTAATCTCAGCCTTGGAGAGACAGAGGCAGGAGAATCTCTGAATTCAAGACTAGCCTTGTCTACATAGTGAGTTCCAGGACAGCCAGAGCTACACAGACCATGTCTTTTACCAAAAAAAAAAAAAAAAAAATCTGTCTTATTATGTTTATTATGTGTATGTATATCTAACATTTAGCACTCCCCTTTTAAAATCTCAATGTTTGTGTCCATCTGTGTCTGTGTGAGTATATGCCAAGTGACTGTGGATACCCATGGAGGCTGAAAGAGGGCATCAGGTCCTTGAAAGCTAGTTACAAGTGGTTGTAAGCCACCCAGTGTGGGTGCTGAAACCAAACTCAGTTCTCTGTCAGAGCGGCAAGGGCTCTCTCCAGTCCCTAATCTCAATTTTTAAAAAGTACTAATTGTAGTGATAGTTGTGAATATCCAAAACCCACTAGATTGAGTGCTTTGGATGGGTAAATTAAATGGTATCTAAAATTATAACTTTAAACATATTTTTGAAAAGAATTGATTGAAAGAATTGAGTATGGTGGCACAGAAGACAAGAGAATCGTGATTTCAAGGCCAGACTAGCGTGCAGCAAGACTTTCCAAACTAAAAACAAGGCAAGAAGAAAATGGCTGTTGCCAGCCTTTTGTGTGGAATGGTTCATTCTTTCTGGGTGGTGGTTGTTGTTGCTTTGGTTTTTTGTAGTTGTTTTGGAGGAGGCTGGTGTTTTTGTTTTTTGTTTGGTTTTGTTTTTGTTTTTTTGAGACAGGATTTCTATATGTGGTCCTGCCTGTCCTGGAACTCACTCTACAGACCAGGCTGGCCTCCAACTCAGAGATCTGTGCTCGGATTATTGGCATGAGGCTCCACTGCCCAGCCCATTCTTTCTGTTTTTAAGAAAATTAATTTGGTTAGTTTTTTAATCTATGTTGTATTGGGTATATTTATCTTCCAGTCGCTGGGTGAGTCGAAGTGCCACGGCACAGCGCCGGAAAGAACGGCTCCGCCAGCATTCTGAACACATGGGACTGGACAACGACTTACGGGAGGTATGTGGTCCAGTGCGGAGATCACAGAACTCACCCAGGGGCTGTCAGTATTCATGATCTCTCAAGTTCTTTTAAAAACAGTTTAACTTATTTTAAAATATTATTTTTATACTGAAGTGTAGCAGAAAACATTTTTCCAGTTTTGTCCTTTTGTTCATCTAAAATAGGGCTTTATTTCTGTGTAGTAAATCTAATAGAAGCTTTATTTAGGGTAATTTTTTGGTCAGTAGGTCTCCTGAAGGGAGAAACATTGAGATACACATATATCTAAGTTTCAAATATAATTTAAGCTTAGTAAGTAAAGATATATTAACATATTCTTTGGCTTGCTGACACCGTGTTTTAGAAGTGTCAGAGCTGTTTTTAGATTAAGATCTATATGCTTTATTTGTATTCATTGAAAATAAAATTCAAATTATGTTTAAATAATTATATTTTGTTTCTTGTGATCAAAAGAAAAATGCAAACAAAAATTTTGCTGTTTTATAAGCTCAAGTGTGTAGAAATAGGATGGAAAACATCCTTCCAAACTGAAGCCTCTCTTGTTTGTTGCCTTGCCTTCACCATCCCCCTTGCTGTGGTCTTATCATGTGCATGCAGGTTTTGCTTCTGTTTTCCTTTTTTTTTCCCCCCTTTTTCTACTTTTCTGTCATTGAAACATCGCCATCATCTTAGCCTTCCGGGGGACTTTTGGTCTGTCAGAACTCCATGGCATTCTGGGAGTGGGATCAGGGCCCAACTCCTCCTGCACGGCTTCCTAAAAAGTCCTTCTCTGAGTGCTGCCTGGTATGTCCTTTCCCTTGAAAGTGCTTCACAAGATGTTCCTGAATCTGTCTTTGGTGTTTCTTGAATAGCCCACACATGAGTGCATGTAGCATGTTTTGCTCTCTGCTTCTTCTTGTGTTTGCTGCCTGCTTGTGCTGGAGTGTGCTCACATAAGTAATTCTATGCTGTTAGCAGTAAGACTGACATTCAAATCCTGAGTCATTGTGTGTGTGTGTGTGTGTGTGTGTGTGTGTGTGTGTGTGTGTGCGCGTGCGTGTGCGCACACTACAGAAGTATAGAGTCCTCAGAAGGCACTGAATCTCTTATAGCTGGAGTCACAGATGGTTGTGAACTTCCTGAAGTGGATGCTACGAACCAAACTGAGGTCCTCTGAAAAACAATCACCTCTGTTTATTTTTGTTTTTGAGACAGGGTCTCATGTATCCTAGCCTGCCCTAGGCTGGCATGTGTTTAAAGATGATCTTGAACCTCTGACCCTCCTTTCCCACTGAGCTGGGTGGTGGTGGCGCACACCTCTAATCCCAGCACTTGGAAGGCAGAGGCAGGCAGATCTCTGTTGAGTTGGAAGCCAGCATGGTCTACAGATCGAGTTCCAAGACAGGCTCCAAAGCTACACAGAGAAACCCTGTCTTGAAAAACAAAACAAGAACAACAACAAAAAAGACATACACCGCTATACCCAGTTTGTTTTTTTAATAATTTAACATTATTTATCATGTGGTGGTGGTTTTATGAGGCAGGGCCTCACTATATATACTTGACTGTCTTGAAGCTCCCTGTTATATACCAAGCTGGCCTCCAACTTACAGAAGTTAGGCTATCTTGGCTTCCCTAGTACTGGGATTAAAGATGTACACCACCACACCTGGCCTTTACTTTTATTTTTAAATTATGTTCATGTGTGTGGGGCTGTGTGTACTTGAGTGCCGGTGCCTATGAAGGCCAGAGACATCACATACTCCTAGAGCTGGAGTTAACTGAGCTACCTGATGTGGGTGCTGTAAAGTGAACTCAAGTCCTCTGCAAAATCATACACACTCAGCACCACTGAGCCATCTCTCCAACTCCACCACACCCAGTTTTTATATGGTGCTGGGGATCAAACCAGGGTTTTGTATGCACCACCAAACATGGTTTATGTGGTGCTCAGGATTGATCACAAGTCCTGTGCATGATGAGCAAACTCTCTACCAACTGAGCTATAACCCCTGTTTTTGGCTTTTATGGAAATTGACTAAACAAGTTCAAAAACATTGGAATGGTTTTTTTGTCTTTTTATTTTTTTGTTTTTTGTTTTTTGTTTTTTTTTGTTTTGTGTGTGTGTGTTACCCCAAAGTCAACAGAGGATTCTGGGCATAAAACTATGGATCATAGAACAAGTCAAGGGAAGGTTTTATGCAAACATCTCAGTAGAATCTTCCCACTCACCTCATCCCCAGGTCCCATGTTTGGAGCACATAATGCTTTTCAGCCTTTTCTGCGAACTATATAGCATGCATCATGCAGTGATTGCAGCAACATTAGACGTTCGCTGATATCATTGAGGTCATAAAAATTAGTTACAACACAATTCTGGTACTATTGAAAGTTAATTAGAGCCAGGAATTTGGCTGGAGAGCAGTGCCCAGAGGATTGAGGGATTTGAAGTCTCTGTTGAGAGGAGTGGAACAGAGGAGGCCAGCAACCTTTTCTGTGGAACGTTAGACTAAACTAGACACCTAAATGTTTTTTTTTCTTAACTTGAGATCCTAACTAATCATAATTTTGGTGGTCCCATTAAAAAGACTAAACTCAATGAAACTCCTGGTATTGTGTGAATTTCAACTTAATAATGTTTCTGTCACTCTCCTTTTCACAAGAGTTAACTGGTTTCAGGAGGAGTACACATGTCTTCTGTCTTCTATCAAGAGCACCAAAATCTTAATTGCTGTTATATTCACACACTTAAGGCCTTTTTTACATCTTGCTTGTTGTATTTGTTCATGTAAGTTTTAAGTAGAAAAGAAATATATGATATTTACACATTTAAAATACTCCTAATTTTTAGAAATATATGCAAGAAGCACGAAGTTTAGGAAAAAACATGAGGCAACCAAAACTGTCAGATCTCTCACCTGCTGTGATTGCACAAACCAACTGGAAATTTGTAGAAGGCTTACTAAAAGAATGCAGAATGAAGGTACGTATACTGCTGCCAGACAGTGTGCATTCATATTTATCTAAGATGAGATCAGTCGACCTCATTTGTGCCTGCAGCTTCTCTGAAAGGAAAGTTTACTATTTTATTTTTTTATGAGTATGAGTGTTTTGCCTGTATGTATGTCTGTGTGCTACATGTGGACACTGTCCATGAAGGCCAAAAGAGGTCATCAGATCCTCTGGGATTGGCGTTACAGATGGTTGTGAGCTACCATGTGGGTGCTGGGAATCAAACCCAGGTCCTCTGCAAGAACATCCATTGCTCTTAACCACTGAGCCACCTATCCAGGCTTCAAAAGAAACTTTTTTGTAACATAGACCTGATATGCTCTTCACTGAAGTCATGAATCTCCATGAAGTCTCCATGGCCCACAGTATCAATGACATGGGAGCCTTGCTTGGCTTTTCTCATCTTTTTAACTATTGTACAGTATATGGAGTAAGTGTGTGTGTGTGTGTGTGTGTGTGTGTGTGTGTGTGTGTGTAGGCATACATGTGGAAATCAGTTCTTACCATCCAACTCATTTTGAGGTGTAGGGTCTTTCTTGTTTTTTGCCATTACTACAGCAGTCCCATGAGCTTCATCCCAAATCTTACAGTAGTAGCACTGAGATTGGAGGTGTGTGCCGCCTTATCCAGTTTTTACATGGGTTCCCAAGATCTGAACTCTGGTGGTCAGGCTTGTATGACAGCACTTTTACTCACCAACCATCTCCCTAGCCCTTAGCTATTGTTTTCCTCTTCAGCATGATGTTCAGCCACTCATAAGTTATATAAAGAATGTTACTCTCACGTGAAAAGCAACATATATACCTGTATAAAGCCTTGCCTGTGTCCATACACATTACCACATGTGCTTAAAGGAAAATATCTTAACTATGTTATAGGTCAGTGAATATTAAATATAATTCTTCTCTCACAGAACTGCCTTTATATGAAGTAGCCATATAAATGAAAAACCTCAGCTCTTTAAAGTAACTTGTGAGCATATTCAATAAAAGCACTGTTTTCAATATCAGTGTATACAGGTAATTAGACAAGGTACTACCTAGAGGAGCTGTATGCTTTCTCACATGTGCAAGAGTAGCTAAGGTTGATGTGAACTAATTTACCTGAAACTGGTTTTCAGTATCTGATACATTCTTGTGAGCACAGAAGAGAAAAAAGGGGGAAAGGGGGAGAATCCTAGTTCACTCACAAACTAGGAAGTTCTTAACAAAAAGGAAAAAGGAAGGAAGGAAGGAAGGAAGGAAGGAAGGAAGGAAGGAAGGAAGGAAGGAAGG